ACTAAATTATTAACATGATTAAATTAATGAATTAAGAACAAAACTTGTCACTTATTTAACTGAAAACATGGATGAGATATACTGTTTTCGTTCTTCTTTTAATATACATGTACACAATTTAGCTACATTTACCCTCATTATTTATCTCTTGTGCGATATCCCAATATGTTAACAAAAAACTTAAGTAAAAATGAAATGCAGAATTTACAAAACTTATTTTTAATATGAATTATGAATACTGTTAATGTGTATACAAACATGTCAAAATAATGTATGTAACTTATAACTTTCAAAGTATTTGTGTAAAAATTTATCCATATTTTGACGCTTTTCTGTCAAACTTACGACACTCTTGGGAAGCTCAATTCCTGGGAGATATTTCACATTGACGTGGTCGTTGTTTATGATTTCCGTTAGATTCCGCCCGTCCACCTTCTCCTCAAACACCCACATACGAACCTCTGTGTCAAACTTGTCTGGCATGGCCAACACATTGTTTCCCACAATTTTGGCAATCGCTGAACCCCTACAATAAACGAATATATTATGTACAGGTATCATCTGTATCTCAGACATAGAGTATTGCAGATAATTAAGCATGATAGGAAATTTTGTGTCATTTTGACAAAATATATTTCAAATCAATTTTATATTTGAATTTGTACATCTCATGATACTAAAGAATTCAACATTTAATTAATATTGATTAAAAACACCCCCCCCCCCAAAAAAAAAGACTTGAGAACCTGTAAAGATGTGAATCATGTTTGCATTAAATACATGTATCATATTCTTATTTTAAAGCCCCCTTCCCATTCCAATTCTTGTGTCAGTCTAACCTTTGGTATGCACATGTATTGTATTTATTGTAGAACTGTAAAACCCAGGTTTCAAATAAAACAAATTTTCATTTCATGAAATGATACAATAATTTCCCATAGTATAGTTTATGATAATAAATGTTTCGAAACTAAGACATTTTCTCTGCAAAGGGAATAATGCATGGATTTTATCATTCTCACTTTTTTTAAATGCCACATATTGTCCATACAGAAAGAAAAAGTTCTGTATATCTTAGGACTCAAATTTTCTGAAGTGAACATGTTTCATATATTAAATAACACAGTGTAAATCTGTGTGTGTATATTTTTTTTTTATATCAAGTTTAATTCTTCTTGAGCAAGAACAAAGACTAACAAGACAACCCACTGTTTTCTATCATCTGTTTGTATTTCCATTGGTGATATGTTTGCTTACATGCCAGTAATTTAACTGTCTAGCCACAAATTCCAAAATTTGCCTTTAAATACCTAGATCATTGAATTTGGCACTGCCCAACTGCCCCAATGTGCCAGTGTTGTGATTGCTATATATCTTACCTTAACCTAAAAACCTTATCAAAGAGAAAACCATTTTGTCAGGTAATAAATCCACTTGCATCAAAGGTATTGTAAAGATAAGATAAAAATAGGGGTGTATATGTACAGATTGATACAATATGAAAAAAAAACTCTGCTTAGATGAAGACACAATTAAATTCATAACCAAGATGCTGGTGCCTTTCAAAAAATTAGAAGTATGGTTAAATATTGTATACATTTAAAAACTTTCTGCACAATCATAGGCCCTCCCTATGTAAGTTTATAGATGATGAAATGAAAGTCTACATAGGTCTACCACTCTTACATGTCAGTGAAGCACCTGCATGAAATTTGTGACCTTTTGCATTTAAAATTTACATTTTTGTACACTATCCATTGTGTCTTGGTCAGTGAAGTTCATTTTACTAATCTATCAAGTATTTATATATATGTCAAAGTAATAATTTTTTTCCTTGTTTTTGGCCCTAATCATTTCAAGTTTAAGATGATGCAAATGGATATAAAGCATAATATACAAGTAATATAATATTATTACTAATTATAATAAAGAGTACCTTTGACAAAATGTACATAAAATAAGTGGCATGCAAAAAAAAAAATAATAAATAAAAAAAAAAAAAATCAGAAATTATCACAGTTTAGTTTTAATAAAATTAATGAGATGGATTTGTAAGAAAAATAATGAGATGTCAGATGAAATGTTAAAATTAGCTACTAATATATCATGTACTAAATAAAATGAAACGGAACAGATAAGGCAAAATCAACAGAGAAAAGTCAACTGTTCTTCAAAGAACCTTATCTGCAGTTGTGTAATAATTATAATTATAAAATTCATTATAAATCTTCGTGAAACATAATTTGGCCCATTTTCAGATTTTTGCATCAATGTCATAATTCATATTTTATGCCTGGAACAAACTTGAAAAAAATTTCCTAGTCAAAAATTTCAAATATTCGCAGCAATTGAGAAGTACAGCTTACAAATATTATCAAGATGATTTAAAAAAAGAAATAACGATTTACTGATAATGATCAAAATATAACGGTGGACTTTGTACCAACCGGTAAAATCCAGCTAATAATGAGAAAATTCGAACTAAACATGTTACGACTGCACGAAGTAAAATGGTTCAAAGAAAGGGATTTTAACTCATAAAATAAAGTTACAAACCAGTTTCCTGATCCTACAATGCAGACTTTTTTCTTCGATGATGCCATTGTTGTGAATAATTCTAAACACACGTTGCCGAATACGCGTTGCGGTTACCTTCTCGAGAGGCAGTGTCTCAGCCGATGAATTTGATTGGATAAGGAGAACAATTGAGGTGGAGCTAGTTTATCTTGGCGGTAGTTTCGAAAAAGGGACAACGTTCCAGTCCAAACTTCCGCCAGAGTTCGTTTGTACCAAACCAAATCTCTGTGTGCGGAGACGCAGAGGACTATGTGTAGTATGCGTTCCAGTCATCCTATATGACAAAATGCACTTTATAAGGATTCATGATATTCCTATACAAATGATATTCCTATATAAATTCCTGTATTAAATTTTCGCACTGGTTTAAGTTATGAATTATCATAAATTATTCCCCCATACCTTTCATCCCCCTTGTGGCCCCAATTTTAAACAGGAGGCCCATGGGCTACAATGCTTGTACACATGTCACTTTGGCCCTACATCTGATCATAACCCCCACCCCAATAACCAGGCTGAAGCTAGCAGCCAATAACAGCAGCCACTAAGCGCGTAGAAGTTAGCAGCCAATAAGGAAATTAATCAAAGAACTGAGAGTACTGAGAGGCAGTGCTGTTTTTAATACTTTATTTAAGATAATTAAGGATTAATGATTGGATAATCTTTGTGAAAATTAATTACATAATAAATCAGACACTCGGAGGCAGTAAGGCTCACCTGAAGAAAAAAATTCTTTTTTAAAACTGAAAAAATTAGAAAATAAATTACCCACTCATCTTAGTTCACTGGACAAACAAGAATTAGGAAATGGTTAACTACTTCAAGAAGAAAACCTTTTGAACTCTTTCAGGGACCTCAAGAATATGACAGGGCCAATAAGCTAACCTGAAAATTCGTTACTCTAACGATTGTAAACTGAAATATTCCACACGTGTAAACTACGTTGAAGTATGTTTTGAAAATTATTACCGGGGCAACTTTATGTGTCTATAAGACTATTAATAAACCGTTTTCAGTAATAAGTGGTGGTGATGCCACCAAGTGGTTCCTAGAACATTTTTAATATTACAGGAAGGTATTATACCCATGATTTATAAAGTGCCCACCATATCAACACCTTGACAAGGTAGAAGGGCCCAATGACTATTGTTTCCTGCTATCAGGACGGGACGCTAGTGGTACCACTAGGTGGTGCATATTTCCAGTAATCAATTCTAAGGCACCACCAAGTGGTGCCAAGTGCGTAGGGCATATTTCAAGCATTCATTTGTCCTCCATTTCTGGGAACCTGAACCATCTTTCACTGAGTATGGGTTGAGGGTCTTAGGGAGTACCCCCTGTTAAAGTTTCAAAGGTTCCCAGGGGCGGGAAAGGGCCAGTTAGCTAACCTGAACTTTGATGTTTTTCGTCATTGAATATTATGAAACTGGAAAAGGGCACCTATTATACGTCTTATCTTTGAAGTGTTCATCAAATGATTACCGGGGCAAGGTAGAGGGGCCCTAGGGCTATCATTTCCCACTTTCAAAATGGGGCTGTAGTGGCACCACCAAGTGGTGCCAAGTGCGTGGGGCATATTTCAAGCATTCATTAGTCCTCCATTTCTGAGAACCTGAACCACCTTTCACTAAGGATGGGTTGAGGGTCTTAGGGAGTACCCCCTGTTAAAGTTTCAAAGGTTCCCAGGGGCTGGAAAGGGCCAGTTAGCTAACCCGAACTTTGATGTTTTTCGTCATTGAATATTATGAAACTGGAAAAGGGCACCTATTATACGTCTTATCTTTGAAGTGTTCATCAAATGATTACCGGGGCAAGGTAGAGGGGCCCTAGGGCTATCATTTCCTACTTTCAAAATGGGGCTGTAGTGGCACCACCAAGTGGTGCCAAGTGCGTGGGGCATATTTCAAGCATTCATTTGTCCTCCATTTCTGGGAACCTGAACCATCTTTCACTAAGGATGGGTTGAGGGTCTTAGGGAGTACCCCCTGCTAAAGTTTCAAAGGTTCCCAGGGGCTGGAAAGGGCCAGTTAGCTAACCTGAACTTTGATGTTTTTCGTCATTGAATATTAAGAAACTGGAAAAGGGCACCTATTATACGTCCTATCTTTGAAGTGTTCATCAAATGATTACCGGGGCAAGGTAGAGGGGCCCTAGGGCTATCATTTCCCAATTTCAAAATGGGGCTGTAGTGGCACCACCAAGTGGTGCCAAGTGCGTGGGGCATATTTCAAGCATTCATTAGTCCTCCATTTCTGGGAACCTGAACCATCTTTCACTAAGGATAAGTTGAGAGTCTTAGGAAGTACCCCCTGTTAAAGTTTCAAAGGTTCCCAGGGGCTGGAAAGGGCCAGTTAGCTAACCTGAACTTTGATGTTTTTCGTCATTGAATATTATGAAACTGGAAAAGGGCACCTATTATACGTCTTATCTTTGAAGTGTTCATCAAATGATTACCGGGGCAAGGTAGAGGGGCCCTAGGGCTATCATTTCCCAATTTCAAAATGGGGCTGTAGTGGCACCACCAAGTGGTGCCAAGTGCGTGGGGCATATTTCAAGCATTCATTTGTCCTCCATTTCTGGGAACCTGAACCATCTTTCACTAAGGATGGGTTGAGGGTCTTAGGGAGTACCCCCTGTTAAAGTTTCAAAGGTTCCCAGGGGCTGGAAAGGGCCAGTTAGCTAACCTGAACTTGATGTTTTTCGTCATTGAATATAATGAAACTGGAGAAGGGCACCCATTATACGTCTTATCTTTGAAGTGTTCATCAAATGATTACCGGGGCAAGGTAGAGGGGCCCTAGGGCTATCATTTCCCACTTTCAAAATGGGGCTGTAGTGGCACCACCAAGTGGTGCCAAGTGCGTTGGGCATATTTCAAGCATTCATTTGTCCTCCATTTCTGGGAACCTGAACCATCTTTCACTAAGGATGGGTTGAGGGTCTTAGGGAGTACCCCCTGTTAAAGTTTCAAAGGTTCCCAGGGGCTGGAAAGGGCCAGTTAGCTAACCTGAACTTGATGTTTTTCGTCATTGAATATTATGAAACTGGAAAAGGGCACCTATTATACGTCTTATCTTGGAAGTGTTCATCAAATGATTACCGGGGCAAGGTAGAGGGGCCCTAGGGCTATCATTTTCCACTTTCAAAATGGGGCTGTAGTGGCACCACCAAGTGGTGCCAAGTGCGTGGGGCATATTTCAAGCATTCATTTGTCCTCCATTTCTGGGAACCTGAACCATTTTTCACTAAGGATGGGTTGAGGGTCTTAGGGAGTACCCCCTGTTAAAGTTTCAAAGGTTCCCAGGGGCTGGAAAGGGCCAGTTAGCTAACCCGAACTTTGATGTTTTTCGTCATTGAATATTATGAAACTGGAAAAGGGCACCCATTATACGTCTTATCTTTGAAGTGTTCATCAAATGATTACCGGGGCAAGGTAGAGGGGCCCTAGGGCTATCGTTTTCCACTTTCAAAATGGGGCTGTAGTGGCACCACCAAGTGGTGCCAAGTGCGTGGGGCATATTTCAAGCATTCATTAGTCCTCCATTTCTGGGAACCTGAACCATCTTTCACTAAGGATGGGTTGAGGGTCTTAGGGAGTACCCCCTGTTAAAGTTTCAAAGGGTCCCAGGGGCGGGAAAGGGCCAGTTAGCTAACCTGAACTTTGATGTTTTTCGTCATTGAATATTATGAAACTGGAAAAGGGCACCTATTATACGTCTTATCTTGGAAGTGTTCATCAAATGATTACCGGGGCAAGGTAGAGGGGCCCTAGGGCTATCATTTCCCACTTTCAAAATGGGGCTGTAGTGGCACCACCAAGTGGTGCCAAGTGCGTGGGGCATATTTCAAGCATTCATTTGTCCTCCATTTCTGGGAACCTGAACCATCTTTCACTAAGGATGGGTTGAGGGTCTTAGGGAGTACCCCCTGTTAAAGTTTCAAAGGTTCCCAGGGGCTGGAAAGGGCCAGTTAGCTAACCTGAACTTTGATGTTTTTTTCCTCATTGAATATTAAGAAACTGGAAAAGGGCACCTATTATACCTCTTATCTTTGAAGTGTTCATCAAATGATTACCGGGGCAAGGTAGAGGGGCCCTAAGGCTATCATTTTCCACTTTCAAAATGGGACTGTAGTGGCACCACCAAGTGGTGCCAAGTGCGTGGGGCATATTTCAAGCATTCATTTGTCCTCCGTTTCTGGGAACCTGAACCATCTTTCACTAAGGATGGGTTGAGGGTCTTAGGGAGTACCCCCTGTTAAAGTTTCAAAGGGTCCCAGGGGCGGGAAAGGGCCAGTTAGCTAACCTGAACTTTGATGTTTTTCGTCATTGAATATTATGAAACTTAAAAAAGGGCACCTATTATACGTCTTATCTTTGAAGTGTTCATCAAATGATTACCGGGGCAAGGTAGAGGGGCCCTAGGGCTATCATTTCCCACTTTCAAAATGGGGCTGTAGGGGCACCACCAAGTGGTGCCAAGTGCGTGGGGCATATTTGAAGCATTCATTTGTCCTCCATTTCTGGGAACTTGAACCATCTTTCACTAAGGATGGGTTGAGGGTCTTAGGGAGTACCCCCTGTTAAAGTTTCAAAGGGTCCCAGGGGCGGGAAAGGGCCAGTTAGCTAACCTGAACTTTGATGTTTTTTTCCTCATTGAATATTATGAAACTGGAAAAGGGCACCTATTATACGTCTTATCTTTGAAGTGTTCATCAAATGATTACCGGGGCAAGGTAGAGGGGCCCTAGGGCTATCATTTCCCACTTTCAAAATGGGGCTGTAGTGGCACCACCAAGTGGTGCCAAGTGCGTGGGGCATATTTGAAGCATTCATTTGTCCTCCATTTCTGGGAACCTGAACCATCTTTCACTAAGGATGGGTTGATGGTCTTAGGGAGTACCCCCTGTTAAAGTTTCAAAGGGTCCCAGGGGCGGGAAAGGGCCAGTTAGCTAACCTGAACTTTGATGTTTTTCGTCATTGAATATTATGAAACTTAAAAAAGGGCACCTATTATACGTCTTATCTTTGAAGTGTTCATCAAATGATTACCGGGGCAAGGTAGAGGGGCCCTAGGGCTATCATTTCCCACTTTCAAAATGGGGCTGTAGTGGC